ATTCATGCTTCTATGCACATTAGGCTAGGTATTCCACTTTGAAAGCATGAGAGTGTCTAGGCCTTTGAATGGCATATGCCATTTCTGGGAAATGTATTTGTAGGCTAAGTATTGCTTTCTACATTTAAGTATCCCCTTGTTTTAAAAAGAAGAAATGCATATTGAAGTAGTTTCATGATTTGATTTGTTTGGCATTATAGGAAGCAAGCTGGTGCTAAGTATTTTTAAATGGCTATGTAAGCAAAGCTGAACTGTAAATCTTCCTTCAGGATTGTGTACTAAGATTATGGAATGGGTGTAAGATTATTGACAGGGGGAGAAAGTGGGAATGACTGAATGGATCTTTTATGGCCTTATGATCTATTCTTTCCTTGAGAGTTTCTGAAGAAAAAGTGGAAAGATCATTTTGTTGCATTCCTCCATTCTTGTTTTTTAAGGAACAAGTCCCAAGCCCTACAAATGGCTTGTATTGAACTTCATATTTGAATTAAAGATTGTTAAACATGAAATCTTTTCATGTATTACTTTAAGTGGTCTTTAAAGATGGGGTTTAGTCTGAAAAATTCAACTGGAAAGAAGTGTAGTATCCATAAAGTAGGTTTAGCTGTATATACATTTGTACTCTGTAACTTTTACATCTCCTTGTGCTACTTCTTTTGGGCAAAATCTGTAGGACTATAAAAAAAACCTATTCTCTTTTCTAAGAGCTGGTGGTGACTTAATAACAAGTAGGGTTGCAGACAACCATTCTTACTGTGAAATATTTTTTAATCTGCTTTTCCATAGTTTTCTTCTGATGTAGCACTAAATCTGGAGAGAGTTGCTCATGCTACACAGTACAAATATACCTTCCTCCCAGTGTAAAGCTTTGGAGTGTTTCGATGGTGTTGTCAGTTTATCGTCAACTTCATTGAATCTCCTTCCATTAGAATGACAGACATTTTGACTTAATATTAAAGTAGATCATTACTGTTGTCTATTGGTACTGTGGGAACCTGCTTTCCCAGTGTATATTGTTAGCAGAGGAATAACTTTCTAAAAGTAGTAGGTAAAGTAATTGAATGGTTTGGCTTTGTTCTTAGTTACGTTTCCATTCAAATTTGTACATTATCGAACTCTTATTACGGAATATGTCTTTCTCTTTTTCACCTCTGTTGGTGTTAATTGGCAAAAGCAAAGTTCTAAATCAAATCTTTGTTAAAATGCTGAAGGTTTAGTATTGTGCCTGAGTACAAGGGGAAACCTATTGTTGAATCAATTGAGCACTTTGCATAGGAAACCTGATAATACTAAAAGTAAAACGCTAGTGGAATATGAAGGCATGCCACTAAATTCTGCTTGTGTGACTGACGGGTACCTGGTGTGCTAATTAAGGGAGAGAATCTCATTAGAAAATGTTCACTGTTTTATTCATCAAGACACTTGGAAATGGGTAGCTCTACCATAATTATATCAATGAGGAAGTTTTGTCTGAAGTCAAGTTATTAATTGGTAATAATGTATGAGATTTTCAGTACCGGAAACAAGGGTCTTGATTTGAACGGAGTCCATTACAATTTGATTGAATTGTATGGTAGGGACTCCACTAATGATAAGAAAATAAGGGGTGTTCATGGGACACCCACAAAGGGTGAACTTGAATGTGTGGGCGGGGGCTGGTGGGGAAGTGGGAAAAATCTGCCTGTAAAATTAATGTTTCAGTTTATTTTTCAGATTACATGCCTTTCTTTATAAGGGATGCTGGCACAGACCCCTAAAATAAACTTTTGGTAGTACTGTACCTTTGAAGAGTGGTGAAGGATGCTAAAGGATAATCTCCTGAAAGTTGTGGTTTTGATAGCTTTACTGTGTAGAATCGCTAAACTGTTGTTTAGCAAATAATGTTGCTTAGTTTCAACTAAGTTTTGACTTTCATCACTTGAAACAGCAGTGTACCAAGGGTCGTACGCTACTCAAATAGACTTTCAACAAGTCTTGCAATGATGTATATGATAGTTCTTAGCCTAATGTGAATTTAAATCATCTTAAAAAGTAGTTTCCAAAAAGCTGATATGAAACTTGGGGTGGGAAAGGGTAGGTAGTACTTTTGAAGTATTGTTAGTAATTTTTCTCACTTAGAGAAACCACCTGCCCCCATTTCCTCTTCTCCACTTTCTCTTATAATAATTTTGTTTTAAGAGGAACACTGATTGTTTTTGAACTACTTATTTCTAAACTGCGTTCTCTAAGAGTTCCCAGTGTATTTAATAGGTATTTTAGAAGCTTAACCCATTGGCTCACGTTTAGTGAAACCATATTCTCTGCTTAGAACACTAATTAAACTTAGAAGTGCTATATATAAACCCCACCACTCTCTTTAGATGTATTATACCACTAATATAAACAGGTAATAATTTGGGAAATTGTAATGTTACGCCTGTGCAATTTTTATAAGTGGCATATTATGGCAGATAAAAATTTAGATACTTGGCTTTTCTTGGGCAAGCCACTAAGCTGTGGCGGAATATTTTCTGGTGTTCTTGGACTGCAATTATGCACTATTAAAGTAGTGGCCTGCTACATAACTGCATTTAGCCAGCATTTCTGCAGTGCGTAACTGTGAGGAACGTAGTACCGCAAATGGCAATGGACATTAGGACCCGGATGTAGTATTCCTGCTTGCTCCAAGATTCTCATTGCCGACTGCATACAGGTAGGTAACAAGCAATATAATCTAACTTGGTGACTTGCTATGTACTTTTATTCCGTGGGCATTCTGACATCATACTTCTGACAATGAAATTACAGTGCAGCACCTAACACTTGTATGATAAAGCTAGCTTATATCAAAACTGCGTGGGTTTGGGTTTAGAGCTGTAATCTTGTCAGGCAGAATTCAGTGCTGTTGCAGTTCTCAGATAAAAAGTGCAAACTTGATTATTTGGTATGTCTGATTGAGTTGTGTGGTTTTCTTTAGTTGCATTGTAACTGAAGATAACATGGAACACATCAGTGGTGTGGGGGAGAGGGAACCATACCATACTTGGGAAGTAGAGTGCTTTTAGCATCTTGACACAGACTGTATAGCATGTGATAATTAGTCTCTGTTGCAGCAAACTGACCTGCCCATAGGTCAGCAATATCAGTAATTTCAGAGTGTAATCTTGGTAATTACTGTGCAGGTTGAGTGAATTAAGACTAAAAGTACAGTTTTTTTTTTGCAGTGTGATTTAAAATTTTAAATGGGCTCCATGGGAACGCTCGTTACTAACTTGGGCATAGGTGGGACGCTAACATGTATAGTTCAAAGTTCTGTGATTTGTCTAAACATGTCTGTACTCTAAACCTGGGGAAAAGCGATGTAGCATGTTGACTTGACTATTGAATACATGTTGGGAATCATTTCCCAATCATAAGACTTCGTCGTATTCTGTAGGATAATTGCAAATGTTCAGAGTAGCTTTTTGAATTTGGTTCCCTTAGCTTTAGGGACGTGATGTTACAATCCAAAATGTTTTAATCACCAAAACAATACGTTTTCAAAAGCACCTTCCTTTGTTGCTTAGGACTTAAGCTTTGCATCGACTGTTGTTCCAGACCTCAATTCAACTGAACTTTGGTCTATGAACTGGTTTTTAGCTAGCATGCATGAGAAACAGCTTTCATGTATAATGTTTTCTGTTCTGTAACTGGAAAGGTTGGTTTACTTTGCATAAATGTTGGTGAATACACGACTATGAGAATTTTCTTTCCTTGTATCAAGAAAAATGGCTTGCTCTTGGCAAGCAATTCACAAGGTGGGGACAAATTTGTACTTTCAATTGTAGTCCATTCAACCAAATGACTTGATTCTCCTGTTAGATGAAAGTTGCAAATGGTGACTAGTTTAGCTCTCTATTTTAATACAATGCAGATCAAACGTAATGCTCAGTAGTAGGGACAAAGAGGGTCACTAAATTGGCATACAACCCTGATGGGGTTTTCCTGGGGCATAATCCGTTAAATCGGTGGCCATCACTGGCTGCCGTGGTTCAGTGATTGTTTAGAAATAAAAGCTCAGGTTTATTTCTTAACAGTCAATAACAGTTTTGAGAGAATGTACTTGTTACAATATATGGACTTCAGGAACATCTTTGGGGTGGGGGGTTAAATTTTGCTTCATTCTGCTTATTTCAAGATGGAAAGGCTTTTGCACTTTCGATGAGAAACCTGTGACTTAAGTCAATTCTTAATAGTTTTGATTTGTATGTAGCTATAATTTGTGAATCTTAGTGCAGAGGGTCTCTTAAAAACACTCAGTCAAAAAGCTGGGGATAAATGGGTTTCAGTAATAACTCTATATACTGAGGTGCTCGCATTGTATTTCATAATCTTTTCTTGTTACAAACCCAAATTATTATTTTTAATGATAATGGTCTGAAGTTCAGAGGTGTGATGCCAGAATGCATTTTCGTACTGTTAGGCCCTTGGAACAGATGCCGGTGCTTTATGAAAGATGAAAGAAATGCAATGGGTGCTCTTCACATAAGGTTGCAAAACCAACAAAGAATGCATAATAGCCTCACTTTTCCCCAATAAAGATATGCGTGTGACTAGTTTTGGACTTTTAACCTTAATGGGGGTTGCATGTCTCCTATTGTTAATCATTGTCAGCTGCAGTGACATGATCCACAGTCCTGCATTTACTGCCTTTCCCTTAATGATTTTGGACAGGTTTTAGAGAGCCAGGATGTTTGTTCTGGGCCTTTACTTGGTTTTGGCTTTAGCTGATGTTTCAGTGCTCTGTCAGCTAGTGCAGTTCTCAAATGGCTGCCTATTAGGGAAAGAATTCAGAGGATTTGGCCGTTCCTAATCATCTGTCATTGCTGCTAGATAATGATTGGCAATTTTTAAGACTCAACTGTGGAAATGTCACAGTTGTTGGTAAACCATGAAACATTAATGTTGCTTTTGAACACCAGTACTGAAAAGATTTTATTTGGAGGGTGACTAGGGGGCTGGATGCAGGATAGGATAATCTGGAGAATGGAGGAAGAATGCAAAACGATATAGTATCCCTTATGGATGGTACATGTGCAACAGGGAACTATTTCATTCACCCTTGGCAGTCACTGATAATCAGGAAGGAAGAAAAACCTGGAACTTGAATTAAGGCTGATCTTTCTGGTTTTTGTGCATTGTGGCCCTGCCAGGCATACAGAGTGAAGTCTTCTGTAGTGATGTCTCTTATCCCTCAGAAAAACTCAGGTTCCTTGCTGTCCCAATAAGGCATAGCTTCCCTGCCCCAACGTAAAACTCAGGACTTAAGGGGAAAGAATGAGGCAAATATATAGGATTGCAGGAAAACAACTACATTGTGTACTATGGAATGGGGAGGGCACTCTTGGAGGACTCCTGATGAAGGTGGATAGTCCACGTGAGAATGGAAGACATACTGGGTGGGGATCAGGGTATGTGCTTTTACATGAAAAGAGCTGATGTTAAAACTCATTTGGTAAGGTTAACGTTGTCACATACCTTCACATAAGGGATAGTATATTTTGGGTTGCAGTCAAACTTCATTGTGCTCAGACTGGTGGAAATAGCAGTTAGGCTTTTGTATTTTAAAGAAGATACAGTTTTCATTCTAATTCAGGTGTCTGCTACTATCTTACGAATGATTTTAGATTTTTTCCCGCCCCATGAAGTTTCTTCCTATTTTTTTATGCTGTAACTTGCCCCCAATCTTTATCTCTGGAATTTTACTCTTTAAATTTTGAAGTTAACTAGCATTTTCAAATCTTTATACCCTTGTCTTTTATATTAACTTTTTCTTATTATTCTTTAGGTAAGAATGATTGATGTTGGCTGATCCTGGAGTGTTCATTCACTTGAAGTAAGTTTCTTTGGAGGTCTTAACTTGTAGAAGATTTTGGGTTTGATTTTGATGGTTAAATAATTTGATTTAGCTATGTGGGGCAGAAAGTATTTGATTTCTAAGATGTTCACCCCCTTCTAAGATAATATCACTAAATTGTTGTTTTTTAAATGCATTATGTGCATGTGGGTGTATGGTTGGAAAGAGAAAAGGTTGGGAATATTTTTTAAAAATCAAACAATAGTATTAAAAGATGGAGAGAAGATGTAGAGGAAAACAATTCATAGAAGATCAGAAAAGAAGGCTTGAACTAGTGGAGAAATGCTGTATTTTCAGTACTCTAAATTCAAGTTGCTATTCTGAAATGATGACTCTTCAGTCTTAATTCCTACCCTTAATTCCTACCCGTGCTGAAACTGAGTACACAAAAAATTGAATCTTCTAAGTCATGTTTTACAAATGTAGTTTAACTTTGGGCAATTACAATTAAATTTTATTTTTTTTATTTTTGGGGGGTAATTAGGTTATTTATGTATTTATGTTTAGAGGAGATACTGGGGACTGAACCCAGGACCTGGTACATGCTAAGCATGTGCTCTAACACTTGAGCTATATCCACCCCCTACATTAAAATTAAAGGATTGTACCAATTCAAAATCCCCTTGAGATTCGTTTTTACGTGATGAGTAAATTGCGAGAAACAACTAGTCATTGGTAGGAGGGAAAATTCCATGAGTACAATTGACCCTTGAACAACGTGGGTTTGAGTTTTCAAGGGTCCGCTTATGTTCAGTAAATAATGTATTACAGTAATGCATGATCTGAGATTGGTTGAATCCACGAGTATGGAGGACCTATTGTAAAGTTACGTGTGGATTTTTAACTCAGGGGATTGGTGCTCCTACCCACTGTGGTGGTCAAGAATCAGCTATACATTTGAAAAAAGTTTAGAAGAAGAATAAAACCTTGGTGTGGGCCAGGTCTTCCCTAAACAGTAGCATAGCAAAAACCCATTGATTGAAGTCTGAACTTACGACAAAATACATACCTGTTGTTGATATTGGAACTAAATGTACACATTAAAAATTAATAAAAATGGTATGCTGAGAATTATTTTAACAAGGATATTTTTAATGGTAGGTGGGTAAGATAGTCTCAAGACATCACACAGCATGAGCTGATCAAGAAAGCAAGCCACAACTTGTTAGACTGATGAAGTGTCTAGGTAAGTTAAGTGGCTCTTGGACTCTGTAAACTGCCTTCAGAAGGACTCTTGGGTGGTGTAAAAGTAACTAATTGTGGCTATCTCTTCTTAGTTTCATCTGCATTAACACTTCCTTGTAGGAAGTATGTTGTTCTTAAAGCACATACTTAGATATTTAATTATTTTTACAGCCTTCTGAAGTGTGGTTGGCCTTGTATGTTGGTTTTGCTTGAAGCCTCAGAAAAACAGACTTTAAATAAAAGTTTTAAATAAAAATGCATATATATATATATATATATATATATATATATATATATATATACACACACACACATTTATCTCTGTCCATAGGACCATACAGAGGAAGGTTCAGAAAATTTGAAGTCTTAATTTTTCACCCAAATAGTTAAATGGTAGTCTCCTATAATTGAAAATGGATGGAAAACAAAATAATATAGATGATGATTTAGAAGGGTTTGCAATTTTAAAGGGCAGCTTAACTCTGCTGTTTTAGCTGGAAAAGCAGTCACAATGTGTAAACAAATGGACATGGCTGTGTCCCAGTAAAGCTATTTTATTAAAAGGTGGCCTATACATGGAAACTTACAGTCCCCTCATCTTATAGAAACTGTATTTGTACATAGCTGTCACTCGGTTTAAGAGGCTGTCATAATCAGTTCAAAATTTAAACAAAAACAGGAGAATTGAGGGCTATATTTTATGCCTAGGGAGAGAGAGGGTGCCAGTTAATGGAGTGCCTTGAATGTTAAGAGATACGCCTTGTAAGAGTCTGATAGTTACTAAAAGTTCTTGTAGAAAATGAAAGTAAAATTTTAACAAAGTAGCTGGGTAACAAGAAGTCTGGTATTAAAATCATCTCTGCTGCCCAACCTTTAGTTATGTAAAAATGATTAAATACTATAAATACCACATTTCTTGATTAATGTTACTTTGCTGTTAGGAAGTTTATTAATTGGTTGGTGCTTTTAAATATTTGACAACTTGAGAACTGACTCTTGGAGTAATCATTTCCTTTAATTGGCAGGATCAGGTGAACTGTGTCCCGAAAACCAGTGAGGAAGAGGGCAAAGAGGAATGAACAACAACCTGTTGTTTAATAAAGACATTTTGAAATTAGATTGTCCTTTTGGTTTTGTTTTGTTTTCAAGTAGGACTCTGCACTTTCTAGAGTTCTCCTAATATGTCAGCAACTTGTTTTTGGATATTTGAAAAAAGTCATTCTGAAACATAAAGCAAATTAATTCGGGACTGTTTCTTGTGTGGGTAGTCAGGTGTTACTTCACAAACAAGCAGAGCCTACATTGCATCTTCCCAGATAACCATATTTTGGTTATCCTGAGTAGCAATTTCTTTAAAATGAAGTTGAATTTTATATGCAGTATAATAGGCAAATTCTCAGGATACCTATAAATGTAAGGAAAATAACTGCTGGAATTTATTATAAAATCTGATTATTCTTTACTCTTGAAATGCTCATTAAAACTTGACAAGCTATTAGTTGAATGGCTCTTTGACACTAAATTAAGCATTTGTTCAGGATAAGGTATGAGGTAATTTGAGATTAAAGTAGCTTTAAAGAAAGTGGAAAGCCACAATTGTCACCGGTCCCATGGAATTTGCTATTAAAAGCTGTGTGTAGTCAGTACCAAGGATGAAGCCAAGACCCCACTCCACTGTAAATACTCATTTTGCTTATCTGTGGGTATCTTTTCAAATAAGGAGGACACCCAGCCATCCCAAATCAAAAATCAGAATTCTGAGTCCATGTCTTGGTTCAGCCCTCTGTTACTCCTGATTGCCAGCTTACTTAGCATCTTTGTGGATCTCAAGGCAAAAACGGTCTGCAGTGTTCAGGGGTATAATGGGTTCTTGCTACTGGAGTATTCTGCAGTTTGCCCAGCTGCATTATCTGGCAAGTTACCTAAATTGGACTTTGCTTATCAGTAGAGTAGACTATTTTTCATTGGGTCACTGGGGTAAAAGATGGGTATACATAAATGATCTCACAGTAATCAGTACAAAAGGAGCACATGGAGTTTTCAGATATATTTACCAGTTATCAAGGTTCCAGGATTCTTTACCTAGTTGTACAGTAATTATTTATAGCAAAGAAATGAGTTAATTTTGGTAAGCTTTTAGGCCATGGAGTCCATAGGTGAAAATTAGTAGATCTTAGTGCTGAAGGCACTGGAACCCTTCAAGAGACTTTGACAGGTAACAGCCTCACGTTAAATATGATTAAGAATCCCAACCTAGCAGGGTTTGTATGTTGATGAGTTAACTATTTTAACTCAATTCCTGACAGTTAGGGTGGGGGGTATAGCAAGCCTAAGCTTAAAACAAGTCCACGAGATTTTTAACAAATAGTATGAGGCATGTAATGTTCTGCATGTAAAATGAGTTGAGTTCCAAGTGTGTTTGAGGCAAGACGGAATGAGAGGAAAGAATGGGAAGAAATTAAAGATCCAAATGGTAAAACATCTCATGTTCATGGATTGACAACAATGTTAACATAGCATTCCCCAAACTGATATACAGATTCAACATGTTCCAGTTGACTTCTTGAAATTGATAAGCTGACTCTGAGTTTCACATGGACCCATATACAAAATACTAAAAATGGGTCAAACACCTAAATATAGGAATGAAATCTATAAAACTTAGAAAATGGATAAATGTTCATTACCTTGAGTTCGGTAAAAGATTATTAAATGTGACACCAAAAAAAAGCAACAACAAAAAAGGTAAATTGGATTTACCAGAGTTAAACACTGCTATGACGACACCATGAAGAAAGTGAAAACACAGAATGGAGAAAATTGCAAATCTCTGATAAGGGGCTTGAATCTAAAATGTTTAAACAATTTTAAAAACTCTAAGCCCAGTTTAGAGTTTGAGATTTGCAAATGTTCCCCACCATCTATAAAAGTGGATAAAACAAATTTC